CGAGCAACGACCGTTGTCCTTAAGCTATTTTGCAAAATTTGAAACCACCAACGTTTCAAAAGTCAGCGAGTAGTGATGTGGTGGGAGGGAAGAGGAGAGAGGAGGGAGGAAGGGGCATCGAAAAAATGTAGAAAAATATTTCTACACTTGGTTCACACAGATTAATGAAAATTAGCTCTTTCCCAATAGATTAAAGGCTTGAGGAGGATTTCAGAGAAAGAAAAAGGTTCATAGGGGTTAACATTTCGTCAAATTTTTAGCAAAATGTACGTTCACCTCTTCTTCAGACTTAATTTCATTATTAGAAAAGTGGGAGTAAAAGCATCCTCTCAAAATCAAATAATTATAGCTTGGTAGAAAAATTATGAGAAGTTTTTGGTTAAGAAAACATAAAAGCCATCGTATGACAATACTGGCATTAGAAGAGTAATTTCGAACATTTTGTAATAAGAGAATTTTCCGAAATAAAGTTCTTGTTCCAATTATAGCATCAAGAATGAGAAGAACAGAATTTCTAAGTCATTTCAAAGTTATTTTGAAGAATTTGTAATTTTTTAAAGAGTTGTTAGTAGAAGCAAGATAAAAATTTTGATAAAATCAATGTAATCTGATAAAGCTCACCGTCCACTTTTGGTAATAATCATCTCTGTGCCAAGCTCGTAGAATTTCTCCCAAAGTTCAGCTCCTTCTAGTCGGCACTCGATCCCATCCAGTAGGTCTCCTTTTGAAGGATTTTGTGCTACTTTAGCGGAGTCCCTACTGACGTTCGTCGTTGTTCCCATCTTAGTTGAAGTTACTGAAGTTCTAGCAAATTCAGGCGAAGGGCATGGACTGACATCCGAACTATCCGGAGAACTCGGCCGAGCATCCAGAAGTGTATCGATAGAGAATCGAGCGCGTTTAGCGCTACTGGCGCCCAAAGGATTGCGTCCAGCTGTTGAGGCGCTGGAACAGCTCGGCTGCTCCAGCTCACGCTTCGCCATTGTTACTGATCTCGTCGTCGTCGCCGGCGCGATTGGAGAAGCCGCTAAAAAGAGGCGGAGTCGGCCAATAGGCGCCCGTCTGCACGCCCTCTTTCAACACCCGCAAAAACACGAAGCAGGTGAGAACGCGCGCCGGGGTACTGTACCTCTAGCGCATTTTTTTTCTGTTATTTGGTCCTGATTGGATTTTTAAGGGATCTCTACCTGGATGAGGTAGATTGCACTTCGCCAAATGCAGAAACATCCTCATCAAACAATTGATATCAGTGCTCTCTTCTACCTATCTAT